TTACTACTACTACAACTACTACTAATAATAATAATATTAATAATGATGATGATAATAATAATAATAATAATAATAATAATAATAATAATAATAATGATAACATAGCAACTACAACAAATAAATAAATAATACTAATACTGATACTAATAATAATAATAATAATGATAACATAACAACTACAACAACATCAACAAATAAATAATAATAATAATAATAATAATAATAATAATAATAATAATAATAATAATAGATACTTTATTGATCCCCGTGGGAAAACTCTTCTGCATTTGACTCAGCAGTGGGCTGCCATGTCAGGGCCTTCCTTTTCAGTAACTTGACTTAACTGTACTTTGTTTTTGTGTTATTTAATAATTTTGTTTGTGATGTAATTTAAAAAAATATATCCTCTCCCCAAACCGTGTGTGTAAAGATATTTGTTAATATCCTTGAAACAGTAAAGTTGACTTTCTGCTACCATGTGGGATTAGATCAAAAGTAAGAGAAGGTTTTCTAGCTGGAGACACTTTTGAGGTCATTAAACAACATTCTTTGCTCTGATTCACCACTGTGTGACAGCTAGTTGTGTCCATTTTGGGGTGTTGTGAGGAAAGATGTGGCAGCATGTCAGTTTTCTTCCCCCCCTTCACTTCACAAGTTGCACTGCTGACAGGTGACCAACGATGAAGCCATCGGGGCAAGAAATTAAAAAGCACGGATGCGAGAAAAAAAGAGAAGCTTAGGGGAAAGGAGGGGCATACATTGTTATAAGAATATGACTCATGCAGTTTGAATCTTTTTAATTTCTACTAACCCTAATTTTTAGTAGTTCACCACAGACAAACTGTCAGGCAGCAGGCACCGATAAAAGTCACAGTAAGTAATTCTCTGTAGCTCGTATTTTGCCTCTATTATACAATAATGTTGAACTAAAAATCAAATTAGCTCTCATGCATATTTCATTTGTCTGATTGTTGAATGATATTGTTAAAAAAAGAGACTTGAGGGGATTAGTATGCTCATTAAAACATCTCAATGGGAGAATCTGACTGTTTTTAATGTAAATGTCGTCTGTTTGACAGGTGTGCACGGAGGGAAAGCAAGAGCCGTTTAACTAATTGAAAGGAAATATTCAGTGGAGAAAAAAGGATCAGCCTTCTTAAGATATTCCTTTTCTTCTCCTCCCTCCTTCTTTGTCCTCCCTATTCTAGCACGCAATATATGTTTCATTCTTGTTATTTAAATAATTAATTTAAACCAGGAAGTGTCACTGAGATAAAGTGGCACTTCATTGTGAAGTAGCATTTTATTTTATTGCATATATGTGTCACGATAATGTATGGGCAGCGGTCCTCCCACCCTGCAGATCACCTTTGCCTGTGAGGAGAGGCCCTGACATGTTTAATTACACATGCACATAAATCTGATGCATGCATTTTTAGAGCTGCGCGCCTACTTTACATGCATGTAAACACACATGCTCTTGGGCTAAACACACAGAGTGCTGCCTTGTGTAACCTGTGTTAATAGGAATGAGAAATACTTACATTTTCTGTGTCAGAGGAGAGGGGCCCTCTCTGATGATTTGAATTAATTATCTGGAGTCTGGGTCAAAATACTCTTAAAGACATAGGTTATTGTTCCTGCTGCTGCACACACACTGAAACACACACACACACACACACACACACACACACACACACACACACACACACACACACACACACACACACACACACACACACACACACACACACACACACACACACACACACACACACATCGGGAGTGTCCTTGTGCAATGGCTCTTCAGTTGTGAGCAACCTTGTGTACAAGTGATCTCAACAATGCCATTACTGCAATGTGTACTCCTGAAGTACCAGTATGAGTGTATTGCTGCCACATTTACAACATAAAGTGTCCTTAAACACAGACGACCCGTTGAATGTCAGGATAAATGTAGAACATGTATCAGGAAGTGATAGGTGACAGAGAAACAGAGCATGTGAGACAAAGATACTCCTGATGTAGGTAAAAAACCTTGGCTTGAAGTGCCTTTACCTGCATCCATTGTTCAATCGTGAAGACAAAATATTGTATTTGCGGGTGCTGCCTTATTGTGTTGTTGGAACTAAATCTGCACACTGAGAGTGTGGGTCAGGACGATGTCTTCCTTACCCCTGGAGGGCTTTTTTTTTAGCTTCAACCTCAAAATTACATTAGAATGTCTAGTTTCATCTGGTTGTGAGGTCAGAAAATAGCTTTTGTATGTATGTATGTATGTATGTATGCATGTATGCATGTATGTATGTATGTATGCATATACGTATGTATGCATGTATGTATGCATGTATGCATGTATGCATGTATGTATGTATGCATATATGTATGTTTGTATGCATGTATGTATGTATGTATGTATGTATGTATGTATGTATGCATGTATGTATGTATGTATGTATGTATGTATGCATATATGTATGTATGTATGTATGCATGTATTTATGCATAAACGTATGTATGCATGTATGCATGTATGTATGTATGCATATATGTATGTTTGTATGCATGTATGTATGTATGTATGTATGTATGTATGTATGTATGTATGTATGTATGTATGCATATATGTATGTATGTATGCATGTATGCATGTATGTATGTATGCGTGTATGTATGCATGTATGCATGTATGCATGTATGTATGTATGCGTGTATGCATGTATGTATGCATGTATGTATGCATGTATATATGTATGTATGTATGTATGTATGTATGTATGTATGTATGTATGCATGTATGTATGTATGTATGTATGTATGTATGTATGTATGTATGTATGTATGTATGTATGTATGTATGTATGTATGTATGTATGTACCGTTTGTATGTACCGTAAATCCTCTAATATTATCCTGTATTTAATTAACTACCGGGTGTCATATTTTGGCCGGTGTTGGAGTCGGTGGAGGTGAATAATGGCTGGTTTTTTTATTGTGGCCGGGTGGAATGTGGTAACAAGCAAGTACGGGGGGGGCGGTTGTGTCATCCCTCTCACTTTTGATTTGCCACTAATAGACTGCGAGCACTTTAACCGTGCGGAGACGAAGAGGAGGCGAAAATTTGATATTAAGTTCAAAGAGAACGTGCTGATTATGCTGCAGAACACTCTGGGGAGCAGTAGCAGGGGTTGTATGAACTAGTCACTAGTCAACTTCACCGCTCTATAGTGACATTTTATGCCTGTCATCGACTAGTCGCTGTCACATGATAATGACCGGCAAGATGCAGTCCTCGGAAAAGAAAGCAGCCTGCTGTCAGCAGGTGACAAGCTCCTGCGTGTCGGGAGGCAACGCGCTGTGCTAGAGCGTCGGTACTGACACCCGCCGTAAAACGGACATTTAACCAAATTGTGACCTTTACCCTCTTGCAATTTAACCTTCCCCTCACCCCCATCCTAACCTTAACCAGCTTGCGCATGCAAAGCTCTGATTGTTGACGCGCTCCAGACATCTGCGTCCTGAGCACGGCCACAGTAACATTATCAAATCAGGTGTCACCACCTCAAAAACTAGTTTAACACGCGATCGTTCATGTCGGCTCATTTCCTTTTATGTTTTCTGTCTTTTATTCTTTGATTTGTGCCTGATGTGTTTCGCTGCTGTGGAGCGGGGCGCATCACCTGTTTTGTCCTCGGTGACGCACCTGACTGATGTGGCCGGCGAGCAGTGCTCACTCCGCTGTTTTTGCGGTCGGTAGATCTTTTAGAACTGCAGTTCAAAGGTAACTCATAAGGTGAATATATATGAACCCAGGTAGCAGTTTTTCTTTAGGATTGAGAGGAGATGCAGGAAGATAATAAACAGGCAGGACAGAAAAAGTCAAATAAAAACAAGTTAGTTTTTGTACCTGGTGGTTGCAACAAACAGACACCATTGAAGGTAATCAGAAGTGAGGAACAGAAAATGAAATAATTATTTTAATCTTTAGAGCAGCAGGAACTCTGAGAGGCTGCAGGCGCATCAGTGAGCTTGCGGCTGCTGCGCAGGAGGGGTGGGGTGGGGTGTGGGTGTGGGGGTGTGGGAGGGGGCTGAAGCAGAAACTACCGTTGTTAAAAGAAATGTGTTTAACTTTGAAAATGTGGGCGCAATTTTAATTGTGAAAAACTCCAGCGAACCATTCGTTCATTTTGCTCAAATAGAAATTGAGGCCTGCCTCTAATTCTGGTCCTCCTTCCAATAAAGGCCTGGAGCTTGACGAGCTTGAGTAAAATACAGGCCCGGGCCTGTATTAGAGGATTTACGGTATGTATGTTTGTTTGCATGTGTGTGTGTGTGTGTGTGTGTGTGTGTGTGTGTATGTGTGTGTGTGTGTGTGTGTGTGTGTGTGTGTGTGTGTGTGTGTGTGTGTGTGTGTGTGTGTGTGTGTGTGTGCTTGTGTGTGTGTGTGGTGCACAAACCTTGCCAACAGTCCTATTTACGTAATAAGGGTGAAATGGTACATACGGTAGTAACGGAGCATCACGATAAAGTCATGGATGGTTGCAGGCAACCAGATGAAGAATATTTGTCACAGCCAATCAACTCTCTCTTTAAGAAGACGATGCAATTTCTTTATTTAAATTGCTGTTTCCTAACTGCCATGATTAAACATTTGCAAAAGAATGTCTCAATGACTATTTACATCAAAGCCAAATATGACTGACTAGGTGGAGACAGGAGTGAAGAGTTTCCTGTTTGTTTTAAAAACATGTCTCATGATACAGGGATTCATGTTGTAATGAGTTCATAAAACTATAGAAAACCAATGGGTTTGTTTGCTTTAAAGCACCTTCTGTGGCTAAATACTGATAAAACAATACACAGCATTTTATAACAGCCATCTGTTGAAACTGGGATTTTTCTTTTAAATGTTTTATGTATCCAGCCGTAGTGAACCCTGAACCCAACAGGTTTCAGGCGCTGCCATTGAGATTAACCCCACACCTGTTTACTGTTTACAGATGTAACAATCGTACCCAATGTGCAGTGGTGGCAGGCCCTGATGTTTTCCCTGATCCCTGCCCAGGCACCTACAAATACCTGGAAGTCCAGTACGAGTGTGTTCCGTACAGTAAGTAACTCCAGTTTCTTCCCCCAGCAATAAAACTGCTCCTTTGCTTACGGTCGGTCAGCATGAATGAAAGGAAAACATTTTGTTTTATGATTTAATTAAGTTTTGCATAAAGATGTAGCTGTAAGACCTCACACACACACACACACACACACACACACACACACACACACACACACACACACACACACACACACACACACACACACACACACACACACGCTTATGTGATAGGAAAGAAAGCTTTTAGGAAAATCCCAAAGACATTTCTTCCTGTGGAAGGCCGGGGGGACGAGTGAGACGTGGACACGTGACCCCTGACCAGGTGGAATATACCCATGAGGCTGTTTTTCTTTAAGTTGTTTAACATTTCATAACATCTCCGTTTTCCTCAAAATGCTAAATCTAGGTTACAGCTCACAGCTATATAAATGCAAGGATCTGCATGGAGACTTAGTGGATTAAAGATTCGGTGTTGTCCTTGGTCTTTATTTTACTCTGTAGTGTAGCTTAGAGGGTTTGTCCTAGTGATGTGTCGGTCGCGAACAAACCGGCTCTAAGAGTCGGCTCTTTGAAGTGAACGACGGGAGCCGGCTCGTCACTGGGAGCCGTCCCCTCCCCTCCCCTCTTGCTTTGGTGAAAGCTACAGACGATTGGTCAACATGTGTAACTGCGTGTCCAGACTGTCCACACACAGAGCAGTAGGGGTGGAGAAGAGGGAGGATCATACTCAGACAGACACACAGCAGAGCACATGTGGGTGGAGGGAGACGAGAGGGAATGAGGAGGAGGAAAAGGGCGAGCGAGAGAGGAGAGTGCAACGAAGACGGTGAGAAAATGAGCGCCAGCAGTCGGAAAGTGGAGATTTCTTAAAGTGTTCAGTTATTAAATCCATAGAAATGATAAATATTTGATATATAGCATTTTTTTTACATTAGTAAATCATTTTACATATAGTTTAGCATTATTTTGGTTATAAATGTACTCTACGCAACAGAAAATCTGAGGAGCCACTTGGGAGCTCTTTTTGGTGAGCTGAGCCAAAAGAACCGGCTCTCTAAAAAGAGCCGGAATTCCCATCACTAGTTTGTCCATAGTCAAAGGTAAACTGAAGTTTTTCTCTCTTCTTTAAATGAAAACTAAATAAGTTTTTCAGCTTTCTGCTCATGCTGTCTGTTTTATTGTTCCTCGTTATCTGTGTGGTATGCTAGTCATAGGTTTGGACTCATATTGAACACGAACAGGTGAAAGATCAAGGCTGATATGAAAGTAAATGACCATTTTTATTTAAAGATTAATTAAAAACGGAGTGAAAACTTGCCTGTAAACATAAAGTTAAATTTGACATTACAACACCTTCTGAAGTTTTAATTAAAACTTACAGCCTGTTCTCCGAGCAGTGATAGACCCACTACAAGGGGTCACTGGAACTAAGGAGGGATAATTACAGATATTGTGCAGGTGTGATAATTAATGAAGAGGACGCGATGTGTTCAAAGAGCTAGATTAACAAAATGAATGCACAGTGAATAAGGAAGCAAAGTAGGAACATAAATTAAAAAAAATTAAATGAAAAGATCCATAACATCCCAAATTACCATAAGGCACCAGCAAACAGAAACCACCACAGAGCTTTACGACAATGGCAGTACCAAAATATCCAGGGTTGGACCATGTGGAGGTGTAGGGGCCCACACACTGGAGTAAAACTTGGTCTCCAACAGTGGTCCTGGAACGTGTCAACCTCCATGTTCTGACTTACTATAGCAAGATTCTGTAAGACTGGTTGCTGGTACGATGACGTGCATTTTTGAACAACAATCTCTTCCCAAGAAGAGCTATTATTATGATATTGTTAAACTTTGTACGTGTTCATATGGGACTCTGTAGTTTTATCACCCTGCCAACAATCGTAGGAGCTATTAGGGACATTTTAGAATAATCAACAAAAGTAGTTGCATGTGTTAATCTGATTAACGGCCAACTAGCAAAAAAATGTACAATGGCAGTAGATAACATGTCTACTGTCAATTCATTTACTCTAATCTGTCAAGGAAGAAAAAACACATCTGAGATCTTTTAAATTAACAAATATATGAATGTGTTAGAAAGACACTTGGAGCTTAATGTTAGATACTTGTTGTAGGGAGATTTTGTAATTCTCTCAATTTATATTCTGGATTATTTCTGACTGGATTATTTCTAACTGGGTAGACACGCAGCAAAGAGAGAGACAAGCTGTTTCTTAGTACACTGGACTCTGGGAACCTAAGGGCTAGTTCACTGGAAATGTTGGGAAACTTGAAACTGAAACATGTGAAAAGAGAAGGGTAGTTATTGTGAAAACCTTTGAAAGAAAGAGATTCTAAATAATGGACCGGTTGGGCATCGTTTGATTTTGAACGATTCCGATTCTAATTACAATTCCTCGTTTTGATTCCGGTTCCTATCGATTCCCGATTCTGATTCTTTCAAGACATGACATGTGTTACATGAGCCAGCTAACCACAGGTCCTACTTGATGAAATAATCTTAACCTCAACATGATTTTTAATTCTATGAACAACAACATCACCTTCATTTAGACAAAAACATGTTTTGGAGAACAAAAGAAAAAGACTTGCAGCACAACCAGTGTGTCTGTTTCTGACCACAACCAAAGTCTGGAAGAAGCCTCCGGGATGAGAGGCTAAATGTCTCCAACATATCCAGCAATGTCCAGCTGTCTTCAGCTGAAGCTCTCAGGATGATCATGTCCAGGATGACTGAGAACGACACCTCCATGCTGCAGCAGCATTCAGTCAGAACAGGAAGTGAAACTTAAACGTAGCTGCTGTCAGTAACAATCTAACAGATTTTAAACATTAAAACTCAACAGAAATAGTTCAGAAAGGAAATGTCACAACTTTGTGTGTGATTTATTATTATTACACTTATTATAATTATTTATTGTGGCAGAAGCTGGTGTGGTCCACCACAGAGAAGCTGCTCTAGCATGATGACTTTAATTATTCTACAGGTTATTGTTCAGTCTTCTGACGCTCACACACACACACACACACACACACACACACACACACACACACACACACACACACACACACACACACACACACACACACACACGTGTTGGTGAGCGGCTGCGTTTGACTGCTGACGCTCCGTGTGTGTTTTTATTTTTGCAGTGAGACAAACTCACCTCACACCGTCCAGAGTTTGTTCTTTAAAGCTTCTATTAAATCCACCGTGTTGACGTATTTTAACAAGTTTATGCTGCAGGAGTTAAAGTTTACATTACGGAGTAAAAGTTCGGCAGACGTGCTTATATATATATGGCCGCTGCGCGCTGGGTGTGGGGGAGGGGTACTCGTGTTGCACACAGACAGCTGGTGTGATCAGCTCTGAAAAGCGTTGATCACAATTTTCAGATCATGTTTACTTTTCACGGAGATTGGCTGTGGATTCCTCTTCCGGTCGGCATTCTAGGAATCGAAACAAAAAACTTTGAACGATTCTGGGAAAAACTAACAGTTGGTCCCGGTTTCCAATCGATGCTCGATGCCCAACCCTACTGGTGACCCCATTAGACAAAAGGACTGGTATCAGATCTACAGAAATTCAGACCAATTATGAAGTCAAAAATCATGATATGAACTCTAGTTGTCTCAGTTTGATTTCATTGGTTTTCTGATTCAAGTTGAGCCTAAACACACAAACAGTACAGATGAAACTTGGTGCAAAAGTCAGTTTCTGTCAGTAATTCAACTTAGACTGAGAGACCATCTAAAGGCTCAGGAACCCTTTGCAGGTGTTCTGAATTTATCAGCTTATCGTGACGAGTCTGGAATATTGAACCTCTTCACAATAGTCTAATTGTCTGACATTTTGAATTTGGGGTAGTGGTGCACTGATATGAAATTTTAGGGCCGATTTTGATATCCGATATTAAGATCAGTGTTATGGCAGATAACCGATATGTGCAGATACCGATATACTGACGTTAATGCTTCTGAAATCAGCAGATTTTGTATAGAATGAAAATTATTAAAGCTGAATTTACGTAGTTATGTACACACAACACACACAATTAAACTTCTGAGAGGATTTCGGTCACTGTTCACATGACTAAAAAATTACCCCCCCCCCCCCCCCCCCCCCCGCCTCACCCCTCCCTCTGAAACGGGCAAGCAAATAGAGACAAGATGGAAAAAATATCGGTCTGGTTTTATTTATCAAACCAATAGCGATATGTTAAAAAAATGACACCGATATCGATGCCAATAATGTCCATCCGTAATTTGAGGTTTTCATCAGCTGTAATCAACACAGTTATAACAAATGAGGACTGACACATCTGGCTTTACATGTAATTTTTCTATCTAATGTTTCACTTTTAAGTTGAATTACTGCCATAAATGAATGTTTGCATCATATTCTACTTTGTTTTTGTTTAAACTGTAAATACAAAACATAAAGTAGTGTTTTCCCACACTTTATACAAATTTTAGTAAGACAATTTCCATTTAACCTAGATAAGTTAGAGACGTTTGCTCTCAGACGGCACTTCCCCAGAATTCTCTGCAGGCCATGATGTTGCTGACACAATGAAAAGCCTAAGATTTGGTTATTTTTAGTTAAAAAAAATCTATTTTTCTTCTTCTGAAGTGCATCACGATTTTCATCTTGAGAGGCTCTATATAAGAGATGGTTTCTTCTTCTTATCCACTTCTTGTTACTCATCTGTAAAGTCAAAGCTAGTCTCTGTTGCTTCAAACTGAGGTTGTTCGTCAAGCTAACCTTGGCAGCTATCATTTGTTCCACTGAAACTCCCTTCAAAAGATTTGGACCATCCCTTTTGGATCTTTTGAAATTGCAGACACTTTGTGAGTCTTCATCTTACAATAGCCATCTACAGCCTTGGCACCAAGGTCCGTGCAGACGGCCAAGGTGATCTCCCACACTGAAGCATTCAATTATGTCTAGCTAAACGGCTCTTGCCT